GAGCCGATGGTCGGGTCCGTCTCGATGCAGTCGAGGATCTGGAGCGACATGGCCTCGGCATCAACGCTGCCGTACGTGCGCTCCACCCGCACGCTGTCGGCCAGCAGGATCGATCGGCTCTCGCCCACGCCCTTGAGATCCGACATGGCGGTGATGATGATCTTGCTCCTGCGGTTCGGCAGCAGCACAGACGCCTGCAGCGCCACCTCGTTGTCGCCGCGCTCCTTGGCGTCCGACGACGACGAAGCGTCGGCAGGCGCATCGAGGATCGACGTCGGATGCTTGCCGTGGTCCTCGATGAGCTGGACGGGGAAGCGGCAGCGCAGATGCTCGATCTCGGCAAGCAGGATGCGCTGACGGATGAGCGTCTGAGAGATGCGGCGCAGGATGACGAGCGCATCGTGAGCAGGCACGTCGGCAAACTCGACGTCAAAGTCGGCCTGGAGGATCTGCACGGCGAGCTTGCGCACGAGGTTGGTGTCGTCGCTGCCGGTGCGCATACCCTTCTGCTTGAGCCGGATGCGCGACACCTTGGCGTTGTTGGGCAGCTGGTTGCGTGCGCTACTGGCGAGCAGCGTCATCGACACCTGCAGCCAGCCGTCGAGGATCAGCACCACGTCCCGCTCGCCGCGCGCCTGCACGCCCTCGGCCTCCTCCACCTCATCCAGGCTCGGATCGAAGCCGTTGTCGAGGATGCGCACCAGATGCAGCTTCTCCAGATTGCGGATCTCGCGCAGCAACCGCCCAGCCTCGCCGCGCGTGTAGCCCTGGATCTGGTCGACGGTGGCGTGCGCCTTGTCGACCATCTCTTGCGCTGCAGCCATCTTCTCGCGGTTCTCCTCGAGACGCACAAGCAGACGTTCGTGCTGCTCCTCGACGTCCATGAGCTTGGCACGCATCGACTCGAGCACCTCGTGCTGTTCCTCTATGCTCGAGTAAAGCCCTTTGAGCTCTTCGGCATCGCACGTCTCGATCTCGGCCTGGCGCTGCTTGGCGAGCGCGAGGTCCGCCGTGAGTTTGGCGTGCTTGGCGCGAAGCACGGGCAGGATCTCTTGCTGCAGCTGCTGCCGCTTGGTCTCGACGATGTGCAGGTCGCACTGCAGCCGGCCGTGGTACGCTTGGAGCGTCTGGATCATCTCCTGGTCGAATTCCTTGTCGAGACGCCAGCCATAGTAGTCGGCGCTGACGAGCGCACGGGCAGCTTGCTTCTGCAGCTTGAACTGCGCCTCCATGTCGCGTCGCTCCTCCTCATTCTGCAGACCCATGATCTCGCGCACAAAGTCCGGTGGCGAGTCGTAGAAGGCCTGCTCCATCTCGACCATCTTTTCGCGGCCGTCGTCGACTTGCTCCTTGATTTCTCGGCACGCTTCGCGGAGAGCCTCGAGCTGCGGAACTGCACCGCACGCCGCTTTGACAAGCCGAATCATCGAGACGGGCTGGTGCGTCGCAGCAGCAGCCTTGTCGTCGTCGCCTGCCTCGTCTTTGGCAGGCGGCACGGGCTTGCGGCGCGACGCGCTCATGTCATCGTTAAAGTGGACGCCGACGAAGCGAAGGAAGTCGTTGAGCGGCATCTGTACGGGAACCTGGTTGCGCTCGTCGTTGCTGTAGTCATCGAAGCTGTCGACTCCCGAGACGGCAGACTGAGCGACGGAAGTGTCGTGCGCTTCGCTGCTAGCTCCGTTGGCCGATCTCGAGCCGGATTCCACAGCCGAGTGGAACGAATCGTCGTTGGTGGCGGCACTGGACAGGTCCGGCAGCACGGCGGCGACGATGGAGGAGCGACCAGCGCGGCGTTTCGGGCTCGCCATCTTGGACGGCGAGGACGACGATGCCGAGGCAAAGGGGTGTCCATTGGGTCGGTCGAGACCGATGCTGCTCAGCGACTTGCGCTGACCGGCGAGGACGCTGGCCACCGAGGGTTTGGACTTGGCGGCAGGCGACGAGCTGGCTGCACGTGTGAGACTGCCCTGCTGCGCCTGTACTCGTCTTGCGGGCGAGTGTTGGTACGACGACGATGCAACTCCGCCAATGATGGAACGGCGGAACGAGCTCGAGTCGGTCTGCAATGCTGCACCGTTGACGTGACCCTGAGGAGGCAGGGTGCCACCTACGCGCTGCGCAGGCGAGTGCGTGGTCGTCTCAAGTCCAGCCAAGCCACCGCGGAGAGACTGACGGAAACGACTGGGCGACTTAGGGGTGGGCTGGAATGGGCTCGGCGCGCCATTGCCGAGCGACTTTGCCGGAGTGATGACAGGCTTGGAGGGTGAAGCTGCAGGATCAACAACGTGGCCGATGGGCATCGTCATGTCCATGGCCATAGAGGCGTCGTCGGACGAAGCAAAGGGCCTGCTGGAGCTCGAGTCGACGAGATCCATGTCGCTGGACGCCGGTTCCTTCTCGCGGATGAAGCCGGTGACGGCGCGCGTCATCTCCATGGGCATGGTGGCGTCCTGCTGGATGGTGTCGTCGCCCTCGGACTCGCTACCGCTCAGCTCTGGGAAGTCGGTGATGATGGTAGTGGTTGCGTCGCCGTTCCTCTTTGCCTCGATCTTTGTGGTGATGGCCTTGGTCATGTCCATGCGTTGGCTGACGTCGCTGTCGTCCGAATCATCGGAGTCGTCGCCGTTCTGGGGGTCAGTATGGACACCAGTGAACTCCATGGTGACGGTCTGATCGAGGTCCATGGCCGAGCCGTCGGTGGAGGAGGATTCGTCGGCAGCTGTGCTGCTTCGCCTGCGCTTCAATGCGGGTGCCGAGTGCATGGCTTGAGTGATGTCCATCTGCACCGAGTCTTGGTCCTCGCTCTGCAAGCTCATGTCCACCTGATCGTCCGAGGTGTCGGCGATGGAACGTTTCTGCACCGAGCCGTGAGTGCCGGTGAAGTCCATGTTGGCGGATGCGTCGGAAGCGGAAGCCATGCTCTCGTCCGCAATATCGGCGGAGACGTCGAGGGTCGAGTCGTCGTGCGGCAAAGAGGCTGCGATGGAGGCTGCGAGCGATCTGGCGGCAAGCTCGTTGGAGGCATCGAGGTCCATGTCGGATTCGGATTCGGATTCGGACTCTGACTCGCTGTCGCTGTCGCTATCCGAGCTGGAGCCGTCTTGGGACTGAGCATAGGAAGCAAAGCCGACGCTGGCGGAGGACGAGCTTGCTGGCGTGGAAGGAGGAGAGATCTGCTCCCTTCTGAGGCTACCGAGGCGGAGGGTGGGCTCGTCGCGAGCGAATTCGGTCTTCTCCTGGCGCGAGCTGAACGTGACTCTGCGCTTGGGACGGACAACCTGGGTCATGGCGTTGCGCGAGGGCGGAGGAGCGGCCGAAGATGAGGATACGATACTGGTGGCGTTGCCGGCAAGTGAGGCGAAGCTGCTGGCTTGCATCGAGTCGCGGGCTCGACCCGTGCCATTCGCAGCGAACGACGAAGGTTCCGGGCCAGCCACGTGAGAGATGGACGAGCGACTGGATCTGGAGGAGGAGGCAGGCGCGTCCGACTTGCCAATCTGGGCGATCTGCTCTGTCAGGGATGGCATGGCAAGTCCACGCCTGGACTCTGGGCTGGGGACGAGACCGGTGGGGCTGAGGAAGACCTGGGGCACGGATCGGATGGCGCTCTTCCTTGGAGCCGGAGCATTTCGCCTGCTGGTGGTGGCGGCGGCAGCGACGGCGGAGAGAGAGCCGTTGGCCTTGCTGCTAGACTCTTGAAGCAGCGTGTCGAGCTCGGCGCCGCCAACGGATGCGGCGCGCTTTTTGGAGGTGGCGCGCTCCTTGGCGGCACGCATGGTATCGTCTTTGTTGGTGGTAGAGAGCCTGGCTGATCGGTTGTTCTCCTTTGCAGCGACCTCGGCAAGAGAAGACTTTGTGCTCATGGACGAGCCGCCGAGCGGAACGCCGCCTGAGCCCGTACCCGCAAGCGACATGCGAGAGCGTGGCGATCGCCGCGGCTTCAGAGGCGATGGCATGGTGGCAGTGGAAGCACGCCTTTAGACGGGCTCTTGGACGAACAGATTGCGGTGAAGAAGGCGGGAGACGCGAGCTGCGCGATCGAAGGGGTGATCAGGGTGTGATGGACGTCAGGAGCGCGAGCCACACGGCCGACGACGAGCGTGGACGATTGACAGCCACCAGTGTTGGTCTCTGCGCGCCTCTGCTCCAGTGCTCCGGACAGCTTCAGACGCGCCGCTGCACCGTCCGAGGCGCGTCCGTGTCGCTTCGGTCCGACTGCGCTGTGCTGCCCCGAAATCGGATTTCTGCAGCGCGCAGTGTTGCTCTCTAAAAACAGCGTTGTCGGGAATCCCGTCGCGACACCTCCGCCAAAATGCACGTCGCACGTGACCCCACTTTTTTTTGTAATCGTAATGGTGGAGGTGGTCTTCTGCAGTATGGACCTCTCCTTCTCCTTCTCCTTCTCCTTCTCCT